AATTGTAACAGACAGCTACAAAATACTACATTTCAATAACATAAATACAGAATATATAAATATACAAGTAATACAGCCATACACAGCTAAAAAATAGGGTGTTCACCTAAAAACAGAGTTCCCAATGCAAAGTATCTGGCAGCCCCTTCCCAGCTGCTGCCAAACAGAACCAGAGTGCACCAAGCCAAGGTGATCCAGGCTGAAGCTGCCAGGAGGGAAACAGCCGTCAGCATAGTCAAATTGGCCCCACAGAAGCAAGACCACGTTGAAAGCCCACCAAAGCCAAAAGACTTCAGGCAAGCAAATGCCCAAGCATGCCCCTAGGCAAGGAGCACAGGGACCTGAAGCCTTGGCCTCGTGGCTGCCCTGTGCCCCTAGGCCACAGAAGGGGGCTGTGGAGAGACTGCATACTAGGGAGCAGCTGCTGGGCACAAGTTCATGGGGTGAGCTGGGAGTGGGGCTGTGTAAGACATGGTCCAAAGCACTGGGACTCCAGGTACTGTGGCTCCAGCTCCCACAGCCGTGTTGTGCTTCAGCTGCTTTTGTCCTGTCACTGCTGTGACCCAGCTCCAGCTTATGAGAATCCTGCCCTTCCTCATGATTCTGCTGTTCATTTCTAGTGACTTTCAGGGAGAATCAGAATTCTTATGACAGGGTTCATGGAGGTGCTCTTGTAAACCCCAGCTTGCAGTATCCCAGCAGCATCCCAGAGCTGGGTTCGCTGGGGTACCTGGGGCAGTGGCTTGGGATGTACCTCTGACCCTTAGGGAAACTGGAAAGGAGTCCTGAGCACAGTAGGAAGAGGGAAGTGGATTCACATCATCTCTGCAAGGCTTGCTGGCATGAAGGACCTTCCCCATGACATGATACACAGCAAGGTGGCTGAGCAATGACCCCTTAAAGGATCTGGTAATGATCATCTGAGTTCTGCAGGGTGGATTTGAAAAATCCACTCAGCAGCCACTGTGTGACTAACGTGAGCCACATCTCAGGCACAGTTAGCTGCAACTGGGCCAAGCGATCTGGATGTTTTTGATGACGAAGTTTAAAGATGAAAAGGAGATCAAAATGCCCAGGATGATGTTTCAATAAAAGTGAGTGCAGCCACCGCCATTTATTTACAGCAACTTAATTGTCATCAATATTGTGACTGTGAAAAATCTGCCACCAGCCCCAGGGTTTACCCCCCAGTGCAGTGACAAGGAGGGTCTGTGAGCAGCAATGCACAGCCACAGTCATCCCCTTGGCAGTGAGCCGTGCCAAGGGAAGATGCTGCTGCCTGTCCCAGAGCCCAGCTGGAACCCAGCACCAGGCAGCTCAGTCTCCCTTCTTGGGTGCTGGGAACTCTCTGCCACTGTCACCGACCTGCAGCTGCACAAGGACCTCTGAGCTCGTACCCAGCATATTCATTCTGATCTCACAATCACCTTTTTTATACATTATCGAGCACACTGAAACGTAATCAATCATCTTTTACTTAATTGCATCTTGTCACCACTTTAGCTGTACACGTATTCCTTGATTAGCCAAAACAATATGATGGAAACACCATGAAGAGCTTACTTGATGCATTTGTGTTAGAGAGGGGTTAATATCCTAGGGAAAATGATCAGTGTAAGGTGCATGTAATAAACTGCTGTCATGACCTCTAGCCTTTGAGCTCCCATATGAGCTATCATTGTTTGTGGTTTCTGTGGAAGTGCCAGATGCTAAGAATTTTTGGCAAGAGTTTATCAATTTGACTCAATATAAGATATTACTGTGATATGACCCATTAAACATTTTGCTTTCACCTGACTGGGGACATTCCCTTGACAACAGAAGAATAAAGCAGAAATCAAAGAGGTCAGAGGTTGCTGTATAAACTTTTACTGCAAGGTCCCAGGTTAAAACCACAATGATCACACTCCAGTAGAATAATTTATTCCACAAAAAGAAAGTGACATTTATTTTGCTTTAATGAACTTTGGCCTTTGCCAGCTATCGCAAGCCCACTGGAAATCCTGCCTATGCACCTTCCCTGGACCAGCAGCAGCCCAGCTGGCATGGAAAATGTTACACATGCCAAGGGCCTGAATGTCTGTGTGTATGTGGCTCCAAAGGTGGCAGAACATGGGGCAACAAACAGCTAAGGCATCATCATATGACACACCAAGGGAGAGGAGATAGTATGTACAAGCATGGAAAAAAAGGTGTCAAACAGTAATCAAAAAAATCAGCAAAGAATTATACTTCAGCTATAAAATGGGATGTCTGATTTTTTTCCCTTGGAGATGGATTATTTTTCAACATCCATCCCAGATGTGGAGGTAGAGTTGGGACAAGGCAGTTCTCCAAACTGTAGGTCGCATTATAAGTTCTCGTATAAGTCCCTGTAAACACCAAAAATGCCATTTTGATCCTGCCAGTAATGAGATATGAAGCAAGGTTGTGCCTGTGTGAGGAATCTACAAACTGGAACATCTGAGAGGCTTTTCTATGACTATAAAGTAGCACAGCAGAGGGGAGAGGAGGGAAACGATGAATCCATCGAGATTGGTGGTGCCAAATGACAAATGTCTACATGTGCCATATGAAACCTGCTTGCTTCTGCCCTGCAAGCAGTGAGGATCACCTGAGTTCTTTATAGATGTTGGCTATCATGCAGAGAGAAAGGAAATTGTTATTTATTTTGATACACAAGGAAAGGAAAAAATACTTGAACAGGATGGTCAAGAAAAGAAAATCCTTTAAATTTCAAAATGTATCCAGGGGCTCACAATGCTTAGTTGAAACCACATCCTTGCCAGAAAGCAGGGAATGGTCATTAGGCAAAGCATATGGACACAGCAAACCCACATTCCTGGGGATGGCAGCAATCAGAACCTACACCGACAGGGACAGGGACAGGGACAGGGACAGGGACAGGGACAGGGACAGGGACAGGGACAGGGACAGGGACAGGGACAGGGACAGGGACAGGGACAGGGACAGGGACAGGGACAGGGACAGGAACTTCCCCTGGAACCCTTGCAGAGCCACCAGCCCCTTCCCTGACCGAGGCTGTGTGTGGCACTCAGGGGCTGCTCTGCAATTCAGCAGTGGGAGGGCAGCCCTTGGACTGAGCTCTGCCCCCTGCACCACGGGCACACACACAGACAGACACACGGGCACACATACACAGACAGACACATGGACACACATGTATGTAGACACACACACAGAGACAGACACACAGAGACACACAGACACACATGGACACACAGACACATGGACACAAACAAACAGACACACACGTACACACACGTATGTAGACACGCACAGGCACACACAGAGAGACACATGGACACATGGACGCACACAGACACACAGACACATGGATACACATGGACACACACGCACACACACACAGACACACACATGGACACACGGACACACACACAGACACACATACAGATTCACGGACACACAGACACATGGACACACACACGTACACACACACATGGACACACCCATGTACACACATATATGCACACACACACACAGAGCCTCATCCACAGTGCTCTCGTCATCTCTGGAGTGAAATCTATGCACTTACCCTGCAGATAAAACTTGGCTTTCTCTAGAAACCTCCAACATGCTCAGTGCATACTTCCATGCTGGGGGAAATGGTATTTTTCCCCTTGGACCCATCATCGAGTCCTTCCCACTGTGCCTCTGGAACACCAGGAGGGCCTCTTGCAGCAGCTGATGGGAGCTCCTGGCAGGGCTCCCGCGGCTGAGCCGCCAGCCCCAGTGGGTTGCACCCTCCCTGGGTGCTGGGGCTCCATGGGTCCCTCTCTGGCTTCCCCCTCCATGGGACACCCACGTTCCCACAGAAGATGCCAAGCCCCACAGGGACACTGCGATGCTGGCCTGGTACCAGTCCTCAGCCTGGAGGAGTTAGATTAACCAAAGCTTTGGACTTGTTTTTCATCTATTATGGTCAATATATTAAAGGTATTTATTTAAGAAAGTGCCTATCCTGCCAATCTTTCCCCATGAGCCCTATTTTGAACACACCCTATAATTACTGGTATTACCCTGGCAAATATTCCCCATGAAGTTCTCTCCAGTGAGAGCCATGACTGTACTTGTCTGCTTCTCCACATTATAATTATCACCAGGCAATATTTATAGCTTTACTATTATTATTTATGGTATTTTATGCCCTACGAAAATCTATATGACATACGCTCAAACTTCAGCACCAGAGACAGACTTCACTGGGCCCTCCCCTTCTGTCGGTGCCTGTTCCTGGCAGCGCTTGCGTGGATCCGGCAGCTGGCACCGCAGCCAGGAGTCCTGGCAGTGTGGGGATTTGCAGGCCAGGTAAAATTTCAGCTCAACATACCTGAACTTCCCATCGCAATTTCTTTCATAGTTTCCTGTTCCTGGCTGGTGCACATTTCAGGACTTCTGGTGTTTCAGGCTAGAACTGTGTACCTTGGTTCTTTGCTGAGGCAAGGTAACTAAAGGAGTGCTTGATTATTCCAGATGGACAATAGAGAACCGCACATTTATGCCTCATGCAAAACAAATAAACAGAGCAGAATGAAAAACACTTGTTTGCCAGTCATGGTCTAGACTTGAAATTTGGCACTGCAATACTTACAAACAAATGTAAATATTTTAATTCACACTCAGAAAAAATTAAATAAATCTGTCTCGTAAGCACCTTTAGTTTTAATTATTTAAGATCAATACTAACCTATATTCCTCTGCTCCTAACATGCATCTCCTCTCCAGGATCATAGACCTTTCTTACTCTGAAATCACTGGCTTTCTCCACAAATACTGTTAACCAGTTTCCCCAGTATCATATGCATAAGGGCTATAAACTAATGAGCGGATCTAGGTTATGTAGAAAAGTGTAGAAAGGAAACAAATGTTGAACGTCACATTTACATTAACTTCTCACAGTTCAAATGGCAATTTATCCACAACATAGTATGAATCATGCAGTAAGAAAAGGAGGAATCTCCAGTTTCTTTGATTTATTTGTCATATGGTTGACTGATATCAGTATCAGTGGCTTAAAAAAAAAAGTTTAGACATCCAAAAGAAAGGAGGAGAGAGAGGAGGAAAAGGTCTAGCTTTCCACAAAATCCATTTCCTTTAAGATGATGAGCTCAAACCAAACCAGATCAAAGGCTGAGGACGAGCAGGTTCTTCCGTTCCTTCCGTGCTTGTCTCGTGGTCTGGCGCCAGCTGGGAATCAAGGGTATGGGACGGGTGGATGTGTTTTGTATTTCTATATATGTATGTATGTATGTAGGTATTAAAATATATATACATACATACACATATATGCAAACGGGGATAGTCTTCCTAAAAAAACGCTCTTTGCAGTCCAGAGGCAGCAGAGTCACTGTGAAGGAAGAGCTGGGCAACATATGGCTGTAGAGTCTGCACTGGAAAAGTCACTGGCTAAACAGACGCCGGCTGTTAGTTCTCTTTATTTTCATGAGGCGAAATAGGAGCTCTGCATAGAGTACAGCCTGTCAATGGGATTTCCTACTCTAGCCTGCATGGAGTTAACTTCGGAAGAGGCAAGAAAACAGTCGCTCAAGCTAGTTAAAGAGGTATCACTGTCGATATCATGAAAAATGGAGTCGTTTCCTGCAAATGAAATGTACACGTTAAGCGGGATGCTGCGCAGCCGGGGAGGCACAGTACACACGGGCGCTCGCGTGCTGCGCCACAGCAAACAGGAATGCTCCTGCTTCTGCGGCCACATATTAACCTACTTCGGCTCTGAGGGTCTGCCCTACATGGAGGAGGGTTTGAAATCAACCACAGGGGTCAACTGGCAGCAATGTGCCCAAACCCACCACGGTTTCATTTCAATTTCAGTCAGCAGCACAAAACAGAGTCTTGGCTGACAACAGGAGCAAATGGTGCTGGGGAGGAGCAGGGACCCAGCTTCTCCAGGGCTCTGGCACTCATGGGAACACTGGCACTGTCAAGAAAGGTGGGACCAGATATCGAGTGCCCATGACAGGGAAGCATGGTCTAAGAGCCATAATCATACTGATCTTCATAGACATACAAGGTGAAAGTTCTACCAGTGTGACAGGACCCAGCAAGTGACCCAGCTTCCCTGGCCTCAAGTGAGCTACAGTTGTAAACATGCTCTCCTTTTAGAAAATTCCACTCTTTTAGGGCTGGTTTGGAACTACTTCCCTTAGTAACTAAGATTTCAGCTTACTTCAACACTGAAGGTTCCAGAAAAAGCTCTAGCTGAAGTCCTGGGGGCTCTGAAAAAGTGTTAGTCTGGTTCTTTTTCCTCACACACTGATTCAAAAGGGCTTTGTGCTGTCCCCTGCATCCCTTTTGGAGCACAGAACCTGCTTCCCAAGGAGTTTTACTCAGAAAGCCAAGCAAACCAACAAAATCACAAGCCACCTAATGCTCGAGGGCATTTCATATGTTCTCAGCTCCTTACAGGACCTCCCAAACTTCCCGGTGTGCACCATGGACTTGTCTCAGTGGCAAAAGTATTGACACAGACCCAAAGCAGATTTCCTGTTGGCCTGTGCACGCTGTGCTCAGGACAGTGATGCGCATGTGAGCCTCTACAGTGAAGTGCTCCTGGTCAGCAGAAAGGAGTCTGAAACAGGCCCTTGTGGGCTACCGCAAGGCCGAGAATCACAGTCTGAAAAATCCTCTGAAATTCTTTTTAAATGCCACACTGCAATTGTCCAGAATCAATAATAGAGCATTTAGTGCTTGCAATGCGTTTGATGTGTGGTCAAGCAATCCTGAAAGCAAACCGTCATCTTGATTTGGGACAGAGAATAAAACTATGCAGGAGAAATGTCCTGTGGTAACCCATCTCTTAGTAGCTCAAGAACTGTTCTTTAACAAATCCACGCATCCAATCTGAGTGGTCTTACAGGGCTGCTTATTCATTTTGTAATGAATAGATTACTTCTCTTTATTGAAGGCACTTTTTCCTCAAAGCTTCTATGAAAAAAGGAAAAATTTGTGAGGGAGCTAGAATTTGGGAGTGTTTATTTTTCAGTGTCTTGGACAATGGTTTAAAAAAGTGGAGCTAGGAGAGGTAATGTTGCTTGCTTATAATTTATCAGAATTATACTGTGAAATAGTTTTGAAAGGTGTCCAGAGCTTGAGATGAGCTCTGTTCTACCCCCTTATGTGTACAAGAAAATACACAAATAAAACTGACTGGTACAAATCCCAGAAAAAATATTCTAAAAGCCAGTAAAGCTGCTGCCCCTGTGTGTGATCCAGCACATGGACCCAGCTACTTGGGATGTGGCAGAATGAGGCATGCCTTACCATAGGGGTTCATGTGGTCGCCTGGCATTTGTGGAGGGGTAAGACCCTGCTGAAATGGATCTGTGCCATAACTGCTTTGCTCCATTGCTACAATCTGCTGCTGTGGTGGTGCAAGTGGTGTGTAAGATGTCATCATCCCTTCCATTCGGTTGGACATTACTTCTGCAAAGCAAAGAGGAGGCACAGTTACTGCTGGGGAAAGGGCAGAATCAGTGGCAGCAATGAATCCTAGCAAACACAGCTAGGGTATCCTGTCAGTCAGAGAAACTTTCCAAATTTTGTCTGAGCACAGAACCCTGAGCAATGAGCTTGTAAATGTAAATGTGAATGTAAATGTAAATGTAAATGTAAATTGTAAATGTAAATTGTAAATGTAAAGACTTGTAATTTCTGACTACATAATTTCTGGAGCTCCTAGGTCCTGGCCCCTATCCTCCCGAAGTCTTTATACTCTGTATGACTGAGCCCAGTTATCCTCTAACTTCTGCTGGTCCCAGTTTTTCTGCTCTGGGTAAAATGGAGGACTTGAGGCTGAAAGGTCTTGGGAACTGGAGATACTCAAGAGTATCTCCAGAGCAGCAGAGCAAGTCCCAGTGCCTCTGTGCAGTCTGACACTTGTGGGGGCACGGGGGGCTCTCCGTGCCTTGGCTGGGGCAGTAACGCTGACACCTGTGCAGATTCCCAGCTGAGCACTGTGCCCCTTACTGCAGAAGAAAACAAACTGGAGGATCTGTCTGGAGCAAGCCTCCTGGAGATTTCCTCCAGTGCAAACACCTCCTCGTGGCACATTTCTACCAGAAACAAGGTAACAACTTCTGTGTGAGCGCCTCTGGGGTCTGATCCCACCAGGAGAACTTGGGGTAAGCTGGCGGGGGCACTCGGGCACACCTCTGTGTCCTTCCACTGCTGATGGCACACGTCACCCACAGACCTGCAAATCCAGATCACGCCCTGGATCGCTGTATTAAAGTATCATGTGGGAATAGCACTTGCAGACAGCTGCAGATTCTCTCTCACTGCTTTTTCACAAATCCCCTACCTTGTCCTAGTCGCTGCGAGTTCTGTTGCTCCTGCTGCTGTTGGTGCCTTCGTGCTAGCTTTTTCATCTAAGAAAAGCAGAAGAACAGAACAATTTTATAGCTCCAAATGCAACAATTTTATTTCTTTACAAAACTGTAATGTACATGTCTGCAAACATGCTATCAGTTAACGCAGGCCATTTATACTTATGCACACACTGTTGTGGGTTCAGTTTCAATTCTAAGCTTAAACATTTAAGTTTCCAGTTCAGATTTACATGCAAAATTTACTCCCAACCCTGAGCTGCTTTGAGCATATTTAATTTAATGTCTGTATTTGGAAGTTGCCTTTCTAGTGTGGATGTGGAGAGCAGAGCAGGCAGAACACATAGAGCTCAGCCAAGGGGCTTCTGCAGTGTGAGCTGCATCCAGGGCAAGAGCCCATGTCGAGGCACAGCCTGCATTTGACTTTTGAGAATGTGACAAACAGCCTACCTTTGCTCTTTGGTTTTGAAACCAGACCTGGACGACTCGCACGCTGAGCCCTGTTTCAGCTGCCAATGTTTCTCTGACCTGCAGGAGGAAATGCTTAATGATGCAATTTTTCATAAGTTAAAAAAACCCCAAAAAACACTAATCTGTTTTGTTAGGAGGAACATTTGTACTTACAATAAAAATTGAATGTATGGAATTACTTTTAAAAATTCATCATATTTTTGCAGAGTCTTGTCAGGTTCTGCCCCTGATAGCGCTACCAGCTCTGTAACTACTGAACAAAGAGTGTGAGCTAAGGAAAATGACACTAAATTTTACCCATAAAAGACTTCTGTGCAAAAAGAGTGCTCTGCTCTCACCCCAGGGGAACTGCTATTGCCCCAGGAAGGGGCAGGGCTGTCTAGGGCTGTGGCCTGCTGTCAGAGCTGACTTGGACCCTGATGAAGCACCTACCTTTCTGCAGGGCTTAGAAGACACTTCAAAGGATGCTTTGAATGCTCGTCTCTGCTGTGTAGTAAGTATTGTCCTTGGTCGTTTAGGTCTTCTTGGGTCCTTCCCATCATCGCTTCCTTTTCCTTGGGTTACTTGGCCTTTGGTGGGCTTAACATCTCCATCTTCATCGTCACTTTTGACTGGTGAAAAAAGCATATATAATTGCAATTGTTCCACCAAGAAAACAGAATGTTTGAGAACTGTTCTTCAGTCAACAGGCTCAACTATTGTCCCATGGTTATTTGAATGCCTAAAGCAGCTGTGGGCAGGAAGAGACCAGCTTTGATCTGTGTGCTCTGCCTAAATCAAACGCCACAAAAGCATAAAAATGTTTTCAGTTTTTAACTGAGGACATGGGACTGATCAGGGGATGGAAATTCATAATATGCTTCAGTATTTTCAGGAATTGAGCACAGAGAGACTTTGCCCTTCCAGCACTTCATGGTCCCATGTGCTCACCTGCTCCAATCTCACCTTTAAACACATTTACCTTCACAGCTGAAGTCCAGCTTCTCCTGGAGCATTATCTGCAGACAGGTACTGCTGCCTGCACTGCTACAGCAGCAAAACAGCATAAAGCAAGTATCACACAAATATCTCAAAGCCCATCTAACTAAATATAGTGCAGATTCCCGTTACTGAATACTGTTTTGAATGTTTTGAAGCTCCAGAGATAATATGAAATATAATCTTTGTCATCTCATTTATTCTTCCCACAGAAAACATCAGTAATCTTCCTCTGTGTTTTAAAATGTGTCTGAATGTACAAGCACAAACTTCTCTTTCTCAGTAAATGCATACAAGTATCTATGTGTTTGTGTAGACCAAAGAGATCCTTTGTATTTTCTATAATTAAATTCTGAATACTCGTAAAATCTGGTGATATTACGTGTTAGTACATTGTCCTGGAAAATCTCAAGCACAGTGGCAAAGGTTGAGGGGTAAACACACATTTTGTTGTGAAAATCATCTTCTCAACTCTGCATATTTTATTTGACCAGACTACTGATTTTTCTTTCAGAAAATACTATCACATTATTATAGGGACTTCAACCTGAAGAAACACACTGAATTTTTTATGTACTGAAAGACTACATTTGGGGAATCAACAAATTAGACTTTAATTCATTTTTGGGTGTGATTATTATGCACCTAGCTGTCTAATCACCTTTTACTTTAATGAGCATCTTTGGCCTAATGATTAAAGAGAAGTTCAGTCATTTTAATAACCATGACATTATTAACTTTCCAGCATGCCATTTCTAAGGAAAGGTGTGTGAGGATTAATACTGCTCATTGGAGAGTTACTTTTGTGTCCAGTGTTTGATTGAAGCAGGACACATTCTCAGCCAGGGCTTTACAGATTGTGTGCTCTCACACAGACCCCTGGGAGATCAGTGTTTTCACTGTGTTAGACAATGGGATACAAAAACTTTGTTTAATTTGCCAGCTTGTTTTTCAGGTTTGGGTTTGGCTAGCAGAGAATAATGAGGAAAAAAAGCATCTCCAGGAGTAAGAAACTCCCCTTTGTGCCAAAGGGAAATGAAATTGAAACCGAGACTGGTTTGTGCTACTGTGGTAGCTCCTCACTGTAGATCACAAGCCAGATCTGGTCCCGAAGAGGAGCCCACCCCTGCTGAAAGCTGATGCCAAACGCAGCTGCCAGCACCGGTTGTTAGTGGGACAGGGGTGGGGGAAGGTGCCTGTGATCAGCCCCAGTGTGGGGACAGCCTCACGTGGACAGCTGGGCAAGGGCACTTGGTGGACACCAGGCAGGTGCACAGTGGGTCTTTGGAGCTGGTGGGGGGCAAGGTATGCTGAAAGTCAGGGGGGAACTCCCACACCTCAGGCACATTCACCGAAAGCCCAGAGCCAGTACTCAAGGCCCTGCAAACGCAGCGTGACAGTAACTAAAACACTGCTCCAAGAGTGGCTGGTCCCACGCATTGCCAAGTCTGCAGAGACCTTTGTCTTGAGACATTCCTGATGTGGAAATAAAAATTTTAGCCATGTGGAGACTATGGCTCTCAGATTAGAGATTAAGGATAATTTCTGCTCCTAGTTAAAATGGAGTAACACATTTTCCTATAAACCACAGGCAAACATGTCATCTGTACATGTAATGGAATGGTAGCTGTTGATTTTCTTAAATATTTTCCTGGGAAACAAGAGTGCAATTATGATGGCACAAACCCACATCTCACTTACTTTCAGATTCTCTTCAGTACATCTGTGTTGCACTTGCAATCTTTCTTAAAGGTACTATTTGTAATTTGCAGTGAGATTCCCCATAGAAAATCATATTACTGCTGTGCCCATTTTCCCAGTTTAGTGCTGAAATTGTATGTGCAGAAGATCTTCATAGGAAGAATGTCTATGGAGAACAGCATACTGATGCCTCACTTGAGTGAGGTCTCAGGTAGCTAAAGTCAGCCTGATTAATGCTTTATGATCTTACAGAAAAACACTTCGATGGAAGCAAAAAGATTTTGTCTTTTACTAAGCAGGAAGTTAAGGAAGGGAGTCAGGTTAGGGAAAGCAGACTGCCAGTAGGAATGTTTTCAGCTGTGCCTGCAAATTTGCATAGGTGGCACATGCATATAGATGAAGTGGATGTGAAAATGGATGCACTTTTCTATAAGAAAGCTCTACAGACTCATGCAGTTTTTCCAGTCAGAGCAGGTGTGGGAAAAGCTCACCTGAGTCTGAGTCGTCTGGGCTGACCGAGCTCAACAAGTCTTTCTCTTTCTCATAGTCACTTTTGCAGAGCAGCTGCCCTTCCTTGAGGACAAACTCGTCCCCTTTCCTCAGCTGGCGCTCGCACACGCAGCAGCAGAAGCAGCTCAGGTGGTACACGCACTCCAGGGCACGCATCACGAACTCCGTTGGAGCGATCTTCTCCATGCAGCCGCTGCACTTGGCAGCGAACAGCCTGCAAGGAAGAAGCAGCACAGTCAAGGGGAGCGTCAGATCATACCCTGCACGGATCTGAATCCAACCATGTCTGCACAGATCAGCCTGGGTCACGCTTCTGCACACTGCAAGGTTTACATCCTTAGGCTTGGAAACATTGTCAGCATGCAATTTTTTCAAATCTCAGTCCCTTTGGTCTCTTTCCTTAGTGGACAAAGCCCACAAAGATCTGTCCTTATCTCAGTGGTTTTTTTCTTTTCAAAATGAGAAACAAAAGGCAGCTCCCAAAGTCGGACAATTGCTTAAACCTAAATGTATTTTAATTCACCTTTTGGAGGAAGGACCAGCTCATGCTGTACTTGTTTTATGCAGGGTCTCTGGTTTCAGCACTTAAGCCCTATTCTGAACAGATTTCATTATTCTCCATTTTTGGTATTGTCTGTCTCTGAGAAGACTGATAAACACAGAAATGAGCGTGAAAGCTGTGCTTTTGCTGAGGCAGAGCACGTGCGCGTACACACATGATTGTACATATGCAATCAATAAAGAGAGGAGTGAAATAACACAGCTTTTCTTTGGATGTTGAGTTATTCCAGAACAACCTGTCTCTGAAGGAAGTACTGTGCATTTTAAATGGTGTGAAACATCCTTTGGCAGAGATAGGCAGTGATACAATCTGTCAAATTACCAGTATAATCACAAACCCTAGAACACACACTGTATCCAGACTAGTTCTTATTAATGCTCCATAAACCCTTTCTTTCATCCATCATTAATTTTCTAGGTTTAAGTTAGAATTATTTAGATTAATTTTATTTTGCTTTTCTAAGGGCAGCTGGGAATGACCCTAAGTGAGATTTCAGAAAAGGGCTGCCTCAAATAAAGAAGAATTGCTGTTACATCCCTGTGTCACATGGTGTGCTGGTGATTTGAAATTCAGTGTCTTTTATGGCAATACATCACAGTGCAAGGTGCATGAACATTTACATTTCAGAAAGGAAATGAACACCACTGCACCAGTATGCTCACAGAAAAAAAAAAAAAAAAAAAATTAGATTCTGCCTTTTAACATGGGGTATGCTGACTTTTTCCTATCATCAAAATTATAATTTTTCACAAAAAAAGACAATTCTCTCTGATTTTAGAAGGCTAAGGCTGTGGTAGTTACTCATTCCTCCAGAGCCTCCATTTTGTCTGAGCTGAGAAGTGTAGGAAAATGGCAGTACAAGCCCTCAGCAAAGGGCTGGAGTCAGAGTGGGCAGGAAGGAAAAGCAAATGTCAATGTGGTTGCACACAGCATCCAGAACACAGCTGAGAGACGGGAGCTGGGAGTGACTGCACTGGGAGCCTGGCTGGCTCAGTGCACACCTTTGCACAACCTCAAGGTAGCTGCCATGCAAGGTGGGCTGAGTGGCTCTTTTCCAGGTATGTAATGAATGAAATCCATCAAAAGGAAACTGATGCCACACAGGACCCTGGGTACTGCCATGAACAGGATGGCTTATTCCATATACTCAGTTAGCTTTGTCCGCAAGGCTTTCCTTACAATGCTTTAGCCAGCAAATTCCTAGAGCAGAAAATATTTTTATCTCTACACGATTTTATAGCTGAAAGGATTAACACACAGAGGGGGGGGGGAAAAAAAAAAAAAAAGGGGGGGGGAAAAAAAAAAAAAAAAAAAAAGGTGCACTGAAAAACCGAGAAAGGTTTTTTCTATTTAACTGCTTAACCTTATTTGATTCATTTAACCAAGCCTGGCCTCTCTGTCCGAGGCACACCTGGAGAGCTCAAGAGCGGAGGAACTGGTGCCAAGGCTCTGTGCCCCATCCACCCCCACTCTGCCGTCCCCGCCGGCCGGGAACTGGTGCCAAGGCTCTGTGCCCCATCCACCCCCACTCTGCCGTCCCCGCCGGCCGCGGGAGGGACGGCTTGGCCCCGGGATACACCGGCATCGTGCCGGGATGTACCGGGATGCACCGGGGTGTACCGGGATACACCGGCATCGTGCCGGGATGTACCGGGATACACCGGCATCGTGCCGGGATGTACCGGGATACACCGGCATCGTGCCGGGATGTACCGGGATGCACCGGCATCGTGCCGGGATGTACCGGGATGTACCGGGATCACACCGGGATGTACCGGGATCACACCGGGATGTACCGGGATGTACCGGGATCATACCGGGATGTACCAGGACCGTACCGGGATCATACCGGGACTGTACCGGGATGTACCGGGCTGTACCGGGATGTATCGAGACCGTACCGGGATGTACCGGGACCGTACCGGGATCACACCGGGATGTACCAGGACCGTACCGGGATCATACCGGGACCGTACCGGGATGTACCGGGACCGTACCGGGATGTATCGAGACCGTACCGGGATGTACCGGGAGCGCGGGGCTCCGCTGCCCACAGCGTGTCCGGTCACAGTGCGGCTGGAC